GGCAGCATGCTGCTCAACTCAGAGTCCTGCTCCACGACGCGAGCGCACGTCCGCGGCGTCGCCGGGCGAACGCGCCCATGGTGGCGCAAGGATTCCTGCATCAAGACGTCCGCGAAACCACGAGTATAGTAAGTGTACCCCGCTCGCCTGCACGCGAGACTCCGCCCGACTACAGCGTTGTTCTGGTGCGACGGCCCGTCGTCGTCGAGAACAAAGACAACGTCTTTGTCAACCGCGTTTTGTCCACGATGAACAGCGGGATTACTGTCTCGCGCATGGTCGTCGCAGATCGCTTCAGCAGGTTGCCCGATGGAGCTCGCAGGAGCCGGTCGGTGTCGAACAGCGCGCGCACGACGTTGAACTGCTTCGTGCCAGACGCCACGAAGCGCGTCTCCCTGACGCGGTACTTGGAGACGTGAGCGCGCAAGAGCGGCTGCGTCGAGAACGATCGGAACGGGCGCAGGCCGCAAGCAAATCGACACTTGCCCTCGCTGTCCCGCTTGGGGCGCAAGAGCGAAACCCCCGCGGCGAAACCCTTAACTTCCTTCTCCAGGCAATCAAACATCCTTCTCCAGGCAATCAAACAACTCTGTCCGCATTGCCGTTTCGCCCTCGTCGCCGCTCGGGGATTCAGGAGCATCCACCAAACCCGCGCCCGCGAGCTCGCGTGACTCGCGCTGCTCGGCCGCGAGGCACGCCCAACCCTCGCCAACATCGCCCGCTTTGCTCTTGCCTCTGATCAGTCTCCACGTCGGCGCGCGCGCGACCTCGGCGCCTTCATGCCCATTGCGAGCGGGTGCGCCGTGCATGTGAGATGGCGCAGGAGGGCGGTGGGGAATGAAAACACAAGGCGGCAAAGCCGACCCACAAGTGATACGGCAGAGAACACAGGGCGGCAGAGCCGACCCACGATGAACACACGTCTTGAGCCGGAGAAAGATGGAGAGGTGAGCAGCGACCCATTAGTTGCGCTGATGTCGAATATGTAAAAGCCGGACTACGGGGGGCATCGAGCGACATAAGGGCTCAACGCCACGTTGGGCACATGGAAAGGCGGGATGAACATCTGGAGATGATGGAGACATCGCGCTTTTCCGTCGCAATGCGTCGATCGAAAATCGCGGCCCGCGCTCGACGGAGGCTCGCGCAATGGCGTCGGCGCCGCCGCGCTTCCCTGAGCCATAGTCGCGGGCGCGAGTCGGCCCACGCCCCTCCTAGCTCTCAAGCCGCGTGTCGCCTGTGCACTCTGAGCATTTCGGCAGTGAGCTCCATGCTCAGGGTGTCTTCCCAGGCGACGCGAACTCCGCTGCACCGCGCGCATTTTTCTGAGGGCCTCCGCATCGGCGGCCACAGGTCGGGCGCTCGCCGCGCGCCGCGCGCCGCGCGCGCCCCCGCGGCGCGTCCCCCAAGAGAGAGGTGGGCGAGATGGAACGCAGGGGGCCCCCGTCCAGGGCCGGGTCTTTCACCGCCCTTCGCAGGGCCCCGTGGAAAAATGAGCGCCCGCAGCCCGCGCCGATCCGCCCTCCCGCGCGCGCCCCGAGATGACGGCGCCAGCCCTAAAAAAAAGCGAGTGGCTGGCCCCCCCACCCCGAGGGGGGCGCACGGGGGCTGGCCCCGCGCGCGCGGCCAGCGCAGAGAGTGGAGAGCATGACAAACAACAAGAAGGCGAACAAGGACAATAGAGTGCAAAAGCAAACAACAAAAAGAAGGCAAATCAGATGCATCGGATAGGACATGTGGCATAGACCCAGTACAATGTGCCCTGAGAGCGGTGCGAGATATCCGAGCGCGACGACCGCGTCGCGACTGTGGGGCAGGAGCAAGAATAACAAAAGGTGGAAAAGCAGGAACAAATAGACAAGGCAATGAGAATCATCACAAACACTGCATGGTAATGAGCCGAGGGCAGCAAGACAACGGAGCGCATCACGACTGCGAACCACATGCGAGACAAGGGGTCGCACCACGGCTGCGAAGCACAACGCAACATGTCAGCACGGACAAGCTGTGAATAGGCAAAGCCACCGGACGATGGAATGCCCCCTCCAGGCAACCGCGTGACATGCTATCTCCCGCTTTTTCCGACATGCGCCGAGGTGCAACTAAGTGAGAATCGACTGCGAACATTCTTTTGCGCGAGCAAGACAAGGGCCGCATCGCGACTGCGATGCACAAACAAGGCAAAGGACCGCATCGCGACAGCGAAGCTCACTCAATCAAAGATGCGAGCATAAGCTTTGAAGGGGACCAACAAGACATGATGAAAAAGAAACATAGACAAAATGCAATAATATTCCGCGTTTCCCGGACACGCCAAGGAGCACTTCAATGGGAATTCACAAACAATCACTTGCGCGAGCAAGAGAAGGACCGCATCACGACTGCGAAGCACAAACAAGGCAAAGGGCCGCATCACGACTGCGAAGCACACTCAATCAAATATGTAAGCATAAGCTGTGAAGAGGGCCAGCAACAGAGAGGGGCAGATGGAAGAAGAAGAAAAGAAGAAAAAGAAAACGAACGGAGGGAGGGGCAGGGAATGGGAGAGGAGGGGGGGGGAGGGGGCGACGATGGGCAGAAGGGGAAGGCGACCAAAGTTATTTTTCCAGGAAAGGGCGCAAGCCGGCGACCCCCCCGGCCATGCTCCATGCAAGCGGGCGCGCCGCATTAAAATTGACTGGTGCCTGTGACGGCCAGTAGTACTGCAGCGGCGACGAAGTGCACGTGCTCGCGGCGATCCGCCGGCGGCCGGGACTGGCGAAAAAGGAACTGGGAGACCTGGGCGGGGGAGGAAGGAGGAGGCAGAGGAAGGCAAGACCAGATGGAGGTCCGCAGACGTTGCCGCGAGGTTCCAATCGCGACGCCAACATGGCCTACGCGGAGGTCGCCGCGCGCAAATGGGGCACCTCGGGGAACGGGAATGATTTCACCGTGGCCACGCGCCCCGGCATCGTCGACGTCGCCGTCATCCGCCCCACAAATGAAGCAGCGATCCTGAACGGGACTGGGGGCTGCCACTGCGGCAAGTTCTGCGTCGGCGGACTGAAACCAGCGAGGCACAACAGCAAAGGCTCCAAGCAGTCCGGCGCCGCGCGGGCCACGCGAGGCACTGCGCCTGCTCGAACTGAAAGGCTTCACGAGTATAAACGTTTTGCTAAGGCGAACCTGCTGGTCCCGCGCGAAACGACGCGCGAGTGTCCGTCTCAACGCGGCAGGGAAGCATGGCATAATACTGTCGACTGCTGCGTCTGAGATCAGCGATGCCACCAGCGCGAAAGCATCGATGTCACCGGCGTCGTCTCTTTCCGGAGACGATTGAAGGGTTCGCGCTGCAGCCGCGCGCAGCCCGCGAGGACAGTCGACGCTCCCTGCGCGCCGGCGTCAGCGAGCGGGCACCAGACGAAGCTCGCCGCTGGCGAGCCCTCCCGCGCGGGGTCGGGTCGCCGAACACAGAGAGTGCGGGTTAGGAACGCGGAACCGGCAGCGCACTGGTCGTCGGTGGCCATGGCGCCTAGGCGCAGGACAACTCACAGGACGCAATGAGTTAAGTGACAGGCCGGCAAAGCCGAGCCACGCCAAAGCGAAAATTCCCTACCTAGGCTCTGCCTAGAAGGGTTCTCACTCTCTTAGCTTAAAGGGGCGGGCAGTGTAAATCGCCCCGGGCGGTTCCCCAAGTCCCCGCCCCGCGGTTCCCCCCAGTCCCCTGGGAGCTTTAGCTTTAGCTTTAGCTGTAGCTTTAGCTTAGCTTTAGCTTAGCTTTAGCTTAGCTTTAGCTTAGCTGTAGCCTAGCTTTTGCTTAGCGTTTCGCTTAGCTTTTCGCGTAGCGTTTAGCTCAGCTTCAGCTTAGCTTTAGCTTAGCTTCAGCTTGGCTGTAGCTTAAGCTTAGCTTTAGCTTTGGCTTATCTTTAGCTTCGCTGTAGCTTAGCTTTAGCTTAGCGGCTGCTCAGCTTCAGCCCAGCTTTAGCTCAGCTGCAGCTCAGCTTTAGCTCAGCTTTAGCTCAGCTGTAGCTTAGATTTAGCTTAGCTCTCTAGCTTAGCTGTAGCTTAGCGGTGGCTTAGCTTTAGCTTAGTTTTAGCTTAGTTTTAGCGTAGTTTTAGCTTAGTTCTAGCTTAGCTTTAGCGTTATTTAGCTTAGCTGCGGCTTAGCTTTAGCTTAGCTTTAGCTTAGCTTTAGCTTAGCTGCAGCTTAGCTGTAGCTTAGCTTTAGCTTAGCTGCTGCTCAGCTTTAACTTAGCTTTAGCTTAGCTTTAGCTGAGCGTTAGCTTAGCTTTAGCTTTAGCTTTAGCGTAGCTTTAGCTTAACTTTAGCTTAGCTTTAGCTTAGCTTTAGCTTAGCTTTAGCTTAGCTGTAGCTTAGCTGTAGCTTAGCTTTAGCTTAGCTGCTGCTCAGCTTTAACTTAGCTTTAGCTTAGCTTTAGCTGAGCTTTAGCTTAGCTTTAGCTTTAGCTTTAGCTTTAGCTTAGCTTTAGCTTAACATTAGCTTAGCTTTAGCTTAGCTTGAGCTTAGCAGCAGCTTAGCTTTAGCCTAGCTTTAGCTTAGCTGTAGCTTAGCTTTAGCTTAGCTGCTGCTCAGCTTTAACTTAGCTTTAGCTTAGCCTTAGGTGAGCTTCAGCTTATCTTTAGCTTTAGCTTTAGCTTAGCTTTGGCTTAACTTTAGCTTAGCTTTAGCTTAGATTTAGCTTTAGCTTTAGCTTAGCTTTAGCTTAGCTTTAGCTTAGCTTCAGCTTAGCTTTAGCTTAGCTTGAGCTTAGCTTTAGCTTAGCGTTACTGTTACTACGAATGCTGCTTTCCTAGGGGTTCCAACTCCTAGGTAGGGTCGCCCTGGGGTGAAAACAGCTATGGTTTGCTCTGCGCTGATTACTGCTGCAACGAGGACTGCTACTTCTGGCACTGCTGCAGACACTAATACTAGTGATACTTTGAGCAACCTCAACAGGTTGTATTTGCGTGCCCTGGCAAACCTGCTGACTGGGTAACTCATCTGCAAACGCATTGCCCGACGCTTGGAGGCCACCGTGCACTCTACGAGGGACGTCTGGTCGGCCGTCAAGCTCTCACCGAGTTTCTGCGCGACCGCCGCCGCGGCGCCCGCCGTCAGCCCCGACAGGTGGTTGGCGCCGTCGGGCCCCGGGTCGGCCGCGCCGCAGTGGGCCGGGAGCAGCGCGCGGCAGGCCGGCGACGGCACCTCGCGCAAGCTTCTGAGAAGGACTCCGATGGCATTTGACTCTGCCCCGACGTAATCACCAACGCAGACGAGCACTCGGCCAGATGCGAGCGAGCCTCGCCCACCACGGACGCGCGCATGTGAAATTCGCCGAAGTGCGCTGCGCGCACGAAGAGCGGCCCTTTGTTGCCGCCAGTGATGTCCAGAATCTCCTCCGCCGTGGCTTCGAGGGCGCCCTCTTCGACCGCCGGCGCCGTGCGGTCGCGGACAATCAAGGGCGCGCCCAACGGAACCGACAGGTGCACGAGGTCGCTGGGGTCGTCGTCATCGGGCGCGCCGATGACCCGGATGAGACCTCCCTGGCCGGCGTAGGCGATGCCCCCGCTAAGGAACTTCTGGGGCGCGGAGTTCTTCAGCTGATGCATCGCGTAGGGGAACCACTCCGTCATGGGCGCGACGTCGCCGAAGCGAGGCTGGCGAGTGCGGAAGGAATCTGCGCCGCGCGCGCAGCGGTCGCCGAGCATGTCGCCGAGGCCTCGCATGCCCCTGGCAAAACGCGAACGGCAGGGGTCACTCGATGCCAACCACTCCTCCAGATCGGAGAAGCCCAGCTGGACGGGCGCACCTCCGCGAAGAGTTCGCTCCATCACCTGGCTCAGCGCCCGCACCTTAGATGCCTCGTCGCGGAGCGCTGTCTTCAGCTGCGCGCGGTGCCCGTGCATCTGATCCTGCATCGCCATCCAGATCAAACGCAGCGCCGACGCGATGCCAGCAGCGCTCTCGTGGTTCGGGACGACCGCCAAGCTCGAGCGACGGGGCTGGCTGGATAGTGCGCCCATTGCTCACGCCAGCTCCAGTGCGGGCACTGCGCGCGCGCAGGACTGCGCCCACCGGGGGCAATCCTTAACGCTTCGGCGGCCCATCTGCGGCTGGGGAATCGCATTCAAGGTCGGCAGCTGAGCCGGGCGAGTCAACGCCACCACCGCCACGGAGAGGACCTTGGCGCAGCGATCGGTCGCTCCGTATCCGCATTCCAGTGGCGCGGCCAAGTCCCACGCGTCGGCGGCGACAGCCGAGGCGACTCCGCCGCCCCAGTCGCCGGCCTTGAAGCCGAGCCTCTCCAGTGGCACACCGCGCGCCGCGACGTCGGGCAGCACGTGGTTTAAGCGCGCCAGGATCTGGCGAGGGGCGGAAGCGGCCATTGATGAATGCGTGAGTGAACAGGCCAGCAAAGCTGAGCCACGTCAGAAAGTGGATGAAGAACAGGCCAGCAAAGCTGAGCCACGCCAGTAAGTTGATGGTGAACAGGCCAGCAAAGCTGAGCCACGTCAGTGCGATCTCACGGGCGCACGATTGAGCCAAAGGCAGAGGAATGCACTCTGACCGCGACATGTATCACTGCAACACTTACACCGGCAATTACATTAGAACGGCCATATACGGAAATGCTAGCATACCAGACAGGTGGTATACGTGGCTAGCCATATACATAACGAGTCAGGTACAAAACATGATATACACATTACATGCCAAACTACGGAAACCCATAGGAACGCCACGGGCATTCGCTCCACACCCCGCCTGGGCAAAACACATGTGCAAGTTTCTCATATGATGTTTATCGGGGTTATCTTGATGTCTGAACTGGCCACGTACAGCGCAGGACATTCAGATTTAATATCATACACAACTAACGGCACCATTTGACAATACAGGCCGTATACGAGGCAGGCCATACACAAGGCATGCGATTTGCAGGGCAAAACCATATGAAATAAATGCCACTTCCGACACATGTGCTGTACAGAAGAGGAGGAGGAGGAGGAGGAGGAGGAGGAGGAGGAGAGCATGAGCACGAGTAGGAGCATGAGCAGGAAGGGGGGGATGATAATGATGATGATGATGAAGAGGAGGAGGAGGAGGACGCGGGCAAGTCGGGTGGCCAGGGCCATAAGATCGAGGTTCGAGGTTCCAAAGCTTTACCTTTTACTCAGGCGCTTCCGCCTCACTCTCCTTCACTCTCCACTCTCCTTCGTTCTCATCCCATCATATTCACTCAGACTCAGACTCAGTGACACGCAGACTCACTCGCACTCAGACTCGCTCATACTCATACTCAAACTCCTTCACAGTCAGACTCACACTCAGAATCACTCATTCAGACTCGCTCCTGCTAAGACTCATCATCCTTTGGTCCGCTCAAACGCAGACTGGCTCACAATCAGACTGCCTCACATCCATACCCACTCACACTCGACTCACTCGCACTCATACTGATTCACACTCACATTTTCTCACACTCGGGCTCACTCAAGCCCAGACTCAATCCTGCTCAGACTCATCATGTTCCGATCCGCTCAATCACAGACTGGCTCACACTCAGACTCGTTCACACTCAGACCCACTCACGCCCAAACGCACTCCTCCTCGGACTCATCATGTTCCGACCCGCTCAATCACAGACTGGCTCACACTCAGACTCGTTCACACTCAGACCCACTCACGCTCAGACGCACTCGCATTCAGATTTACCCACACGCATACCCACTCAAACTCAGGCTCGCTCGCACTCAAATTAACTCTCACTCAGAATCAGTCGCTCTCAGACTTGCGATTGGCTCGCACTCAGACTTGCGGTGTGGGGGAATGTCTCCAGCAAGCGGTTCGCCCGCACACTCAGGCGCTCATTGACAGTCAACCCGTAGAGTTACGTGCAAATAATGAGATGAACATATGGTGAGCCCAGCGTGGAGTATCTCGAAGTGTCCGGACAGCGCGCTCCCGGACACTTCGTCAAGACGTCTTTGGGAGAACGACGACGACGACGACCACGACGACGACGACGACGATTCCGAATTTTTCGAAGTGTCCGGACAGCGCGCTCCCGGACACTTCGTCAAGACGTCTTTGGGAGAGCGACGACGACGACGACCGCGACGACGACGAGTCTGAATTTTTCGAAGTGTCCGGACAGCGCACTCCCGGACACTTCGTCAAGACGTCTTCGGAAGAGCGACGACGACGACGACGACGATTCCGAATTTTTCGAGTGTCTGAACAGCGTGCTCCCGGACACTTCGTCACCCCGCCCCTCTCCTTCCCTTTCGCCTTCCCATACCCATGACGCGCCAAAGTTGTTTCCTTTCCCCCCCGCGTTTGCGGGAGGGCCCGTTGAGGTGCCGAGAGTCACGTGGGCGGCGCTCGGGGTCAGCAGTTGCACATCTTTCGGAATCTCCCAGGTGCTTGCCAATGCTCTTCAGCCTCTCCCCCGCTCAGAAGGTTCTCCAGATAGCCCCCTCCCGAGCACGAGGGTCGTATGATTTGGATGCTCGTTCTGGGGACCTTCCTGGAGCCACTCGCTCCACTCGTGCGTCGAAGCTGCGTCGAACCTGAGTAGAACCTGAGTCGAAGCTGAGTCGAAGCTGCGTCGAACCTGAGTCGAATCTGAGTCGAACCTGAGTCGAACCTGTGTCGAACCTGAGTCGAACTTGAGTCGAACCTGAGTCGAACAGATCCATTAGGTGGGCCCCAGGAAGGTCCCCAAAACGAGCATGGAGTGATGCTCTGCACTCTTTGGCAGCGCGGGCCCTGGCCGAAGGCCTGCCAGCAACGTGTCTTGCACGCGAGGTGCCCGGCCAGCGTCCCGCGGCCATCGTGACACGCTCGGGGGGGTATTCCGTGGCATTGCAACTGCCCCAACCTGGGAGGCCTGGAAATTGGCACCAACACCAAGACAGAGGGCTGCCTCCACAGGGGGGAGGTGATCCTAGATTTCGGTGTTGGTGGTAATATTTCGGCCTCCTTGGAAGCCAGAATATTACCACCATCACCGAGATCGGGATCTTCTTCCCTCGGTGGAGGAACACCGCCGATCTTGGTGTTGGTGTCAACCTCTAGGCCTGCGACAACCATGTACACGGCGAATCTGGTTGTCACGGTTTCCACCTTCAGGCTCCTGAGGGAGGGACTGGATTTGCCCGCCACGTCGGCCAGAACAGCAGACAACAGTAGCAGAGAGAAGCAGGAGTCAGCGCTCAGAACGAAGCACTGTACAGAGGTGGCGTTTTGCAGGAATGTCAGGTTGACGTAGAGTCAGAGGCAGCACCGAATCCATGACAGCAGTTTGGCCCGGGTGGCCGCATTGGCAGCTGGCGATTACCTTCGATACACAGTCACCACCCGGGCAAAACCGGCAGTGTCGGCGCCATCGCATAGGTGTCAAAAACATAATCCCACCAGCCCTCTGGGCGTAGGTGGTCTAGAGCAGATCCTCTTCCACCCCTCCCTCTTCCCCCTTGGGGAGGGGTTTACCCCTCCCCCTACCCCCTCCCCTGGACCTGGACGGGGGGGGCCGCGGGTAGTTAGAGCGTCCAAGATGGCCCAAGACGGCTCCAAGAGCGCCTCAGAGAACCCAAGATGAGCTCCAAGATGGCTCAAGATAGCGCAAGATCGCTCACGATGGCTCCTAAGATGGTTCCAAGAAGCCCAAAGACGGCCCCAAGATAACTCCAAGTGGCCAAACAGCTCCCCAAGGAGGCCCCGAAGAGGCCAAAATCGTCCCAAAACCTAAGGAAAATCAATGATTTTTGCTTTCTCGCCTTTTCGCTTCCGATGGCCATCCGAGGCCTGGAGATGGCTCCAAGATGGCCCAAGAGGGCCCCAAGAGAGCCCCAAAAGAGCCCCAAGACGGCCCCAAGAGCGCCCAAGAGCACTCCAAGAGCGTTCCAAGAGGGGTCCAAGAGGCGATTTTAGGGGCTTCCGAGGGGGGGCGCTAATTCACCCCCCCCTCTTGTTTGATCGACTCCCTCCAAGATGGCCCCAAGAAGCGCCCAGGAAGCCCCAAGAGGTCCCAAGATGGCCCCAAAATGGCCCCAAGAGGCCCCCAAGAGGCCCCCCGGAGGCCCCCAAGAGACCCCCAAGAGGCCCCAAGAGCCCCCCCAGATGCACCCAAGATGCTCCAAGAGGCCTCGGCGAGAATGCCTAATCATTGATTCTACACAGGTTTTAGCCACATGGAGGCCTCTTGGGGGGGGGCACGGATTAAGATGACTCCAAGAGCGTCTGGGAGAGCCCAAAATGACCTCCAAGATGGCTCAAGATATCCCAAGATGTCTCATAATGGCTTCCTCTGTGTGCTGCCCACTTCTCTGATCGAGGCAATTCCTCTGGGCATCGTTTCTGGATGGGCTGGTGGGGATTCGCGAAGCGACAACAATTGCACTGCTCGCTACTCATCGTTCCTCCTCCTCCTCCTCCTCCTCCTCCTCCTCCTCCTCCTCCTCCTCCTACTCGCACGTGGACCCTCCGGGCATCACCTCTTGGAACCCTGAGTCGTTCTGCCCCCTGCTGGAGCTCGGGCCAAATAGCGTGCACCTGCCCCCCGCCTCTCCCGGTTTGGGCAGCAATCGGGACCATGCTGGCCTGTCTTGGCGGCCTTGTGGGCCTTCTTGGGGCTCCCTCGGGCCGTCCTGGGCCTCTCTGGAAGCGCTGTTGGGCTTTCTTTGTGGTGCTCGGGGCCCTCGTGGGCCGTTCTGGGCTGCTCCTGGAGCCGCCCCAAGCAGTCTTACAACTCTATGGGGCCTTCTGGACGTCACCTCTTGGAGGAGAGCATGACTACGAGCAGGAGCATGAGCAGGAAGGGGGGATGATGATGAGGAGGAGGAGGAGGACGCGGGCAAGTCGGGTGGCCAGGGCCAGACGATTAGGTTCGAGGTTCCACGGCTTTACCTTTTACTCAGGCGCTTCCGCCTCACTCTTCTTCACTCTCCACTCTCCTTCACTCTCATCCATTCATATCCACGCATAGTCAGACTCAGTCACGCGCGGACTCACAAGCACT